TAATAATAAAATAAAAAATAAATAAAATAGTAAAGAAATCAGACGTGCCAGCGCATAAACATGCACATGGCCTTATATTGGCACACCCTAAGGCTAGTTGTGGATGTGGAATGTTGTTGATCGCATTAAAATATCCATCAAAGGCTAATTACTGGAATCAATGAGAGAATTTCCCTTTTAAAACCTCGTATTATTAGCAAAATGCCATGAAAAATATTCCCAAATACTATCATTACATGTACATTATCGGAGAAAGAGAGAGGAGAGAAGGAGCATACCACAGAGTGGAAGAAAAAAATGTCAAAGAGCAGCATTAGCAACAAATACAGGGGCGTAAGCATAATCACAGTTACACCTAGGCGAGGTTGCTCTATAATGAGAACAAGCGGTCGACCAACGTCAACGTCAACGTCGACAGCGGCAGCAACGTGCGACGCATGCTAAATTAAAAGGCGTGCGAAACAATTTGTGTCTTACGTTTCTATGTACATGTCTGTGTGTGTGTGTGTGCATAAATTATGCTGTTCGCCGCGCTGCTAGAGCTGCTGCCTGCCAAATAGCTGAGCCCGGCTTCAGGGTAAGCGATCATATCTGCCAGTACTGCTTCCTCTTCGTTTTCTTCTTCTTCTTCTATTCAGCTTTGTCATTCAATATTTAATTTGTTGTACATTTCAATTGCTTTAAAGCATATTTATTTTTTAATTTTTTGTTTTTTTTTGTTTTTGTTTTATTCAATGTGCACGCGTGCAGGAATTTTTGTTTTCGGCATTTTAGTATTATCAATTGCTATTGTTTTTTGTTGTTGTTGCCTAAGGTCAAGCATTCATATACCCCTCCCTTCACTCACCCCTCCTCATCTCATTCGACAGCCGCCCACTGCGCTGTCAGTCGTCGTAACCGTAAAATAAATAAAAATGGAGAGAAAAACATAGTAAACATCAAAACCAACTACGACAACAAAACAAAACACAAGACAACACAAACAGATACATAGGTAGACCGATAAACAATTGTGTATCGGTATCGAATCTCTGCGGTGGCAAATCGTTTAACGTTTAACGATTACCGTTTTTCTTTTTAGCGTTTAACGTGTGTTGCTGCTCATTTGTTTATCATTTTGCAACTTGTGCCGCAATACAACACCACAAGTATCAGTTATGTATAAAGTGCGCCCCCTACCACTCCAAGTAGTGCTGTCGTCTGTCGCTTTTTTCCAGTCTAATAAGGCTTTCTAATATAGCGATTAGGATTAGTATCTTAATATTTTCAAGCTAAATAATTCAAATCAAATATTTTCTATATTTTTTATGAATAAATCAGATATTTATAATATTTTATCCCAATTTAACTAATATTGCCGGCGTATTTGTAGTTTAATAAAACTTAACTAATAGAAAATAAGTTCAACTCTTTAAATTGTAGCTACATTTGTTACCTTCCCTGACAGCTATTTACATTGTTTTGGCTTTTTTTTTAAGTGGCAACACTGTCAACACACTTAAGCTTAGCCCCTGGTAGCGCACGCTCAATTAGTCGCCTGCTTGTGCCTGCAGCTCCCATTTCCATTTAATTGTTGTGGGCAAATCAGCTGCTCGATTTCAGTGGTCGCCATTTTTTAATTGCCTCTCCCATGTTGTTGTTGGGCTTGGTATTCCCGGTACCCGCATAAAGAGACATAAATCCCCATGCATGTACATGTTGGTATATGTGTATGTATGTATGTCTGTAGCTATTTACGACACCTGCTATTTACCCCGTTCGCCGTTGCCACTCCCCTCAGATTTGGTGCTATGTGGTTAATTGCACAATAAGTGAGGGGACGTGTGAACTTTGAAAACTTTTGCGAACCATTGGCGAGTTTTATGGTGCAGATAAGACATTTTGCATTATTGTTATTGTTGCTGCCTCGTCGACTAGTGCAATTAAAATTCCATAGAAATTCCCCGATCGAAAACACTCCAACAAACAGTAAAAGAGAAAAACGTCCCTCAATTTAGGGATTTTTGTCTCCTCTGCTTACCTTATGCACTGCCGTCGTAGGCCGCTGCAGTGGACGGCATTTTGTTTTCGATTTTGTTGTCAGGGAGGGGACAAAGATGGGCGCCTTAAGCGCGTAATCCAAATACTGAGTGTCGCTGGGTGTTTTCTATTCACAATATCTTTTACTTTTTTTAACGAACTTTTTTTGTTTTTCTTTTTGCACTGAGAATCGATTAACGCCGTTTGCTGCGCGATGTTAAAATAACAGTAAATTGTATTGTTGTTTTTGAATTATCGTTGTTTTTGTTTCTGCTGGTGCTGCTGCTGCTGCCCGAAAGCTCTTGCTGACCTCTTCGTCAAACACTAACAAAACGCTGCGGCTGCGCAGTCAACGAAGACGGCAACAGCGGGCCGCATTCCAATGGACGGCTCGCGTCTCACGCGCTCTCTCTCACTGGCGTTTGTGTGGGCGCTCGACGCGATCAGGCAACAATAGAGAGGGGCCGCGGAGGTTGGGGATAGTACGATTTAATCAAACGGTCGCTGCAGCTCCACACATAAACACATACATATACAGAACAAACGTATATGACAATATAAAAAGAGAACAAGCACGACTGAACGAGAGAGAGAGAGAGAGAGAGAGCGAGCGAGCTGGCGTTTATAATGCTTGTATGTTTGTATTAGTGCTGTCCTCTCTTTAGCAACTGCTTTTTGTTGTTGCGCGAAAGAATGCCGTTTGCTTGGTTGTCGTTGTTGCCGTTGTAGTTGTAGTTGCTGTTGTTGCTGGGTCGCAACTTTCTGTGTGGCTATTTGTTTTGACCAGCAGCAACTTGTTGGGAGTCGTTGCAAAGAATTTTTGTCGCTGCCCAAAATGCAAGCAAAACACACCACACACAAAAAAACACAATGGATTTGAGCACTAGCGCTTGTAATTCAACGTTACACTTTGAATCTCAATTTGAATCCGAATACGAATCCGAAACTAAATCCGAATCTCAAAACCCCAAAATCGAAACGTAACGTAATGAGACCGAAGCGAGGCGAAAAACGCTTAACGAAACGCACACACTGCGATTGCGACTTCGACTGCGACAGCTACAATCGCCAGAGTTCCAATGGGACCGCGCAGTCGTTGCTATTGCGATCGCGACTGAGCTGGCACTGCGACTGAGAGTGTGTGCGCTTGTGAGAGAGCGAATTCAGCGTTCGTGTGACGGTGACGGTGAGTGTATATGAGTTTTTTTTCAACACCACGCGCAACCTGCTGCCGCCAGTTCAACTGCTTCGTCCAGCTACAAAAATCAAACTGAAGTCCGAGTCGAGAGAGTTTCGTTATGAGAGCGCAACTGTAGAGTGCTCGTGTGTGTGTGTACGAGTATCTCCCACTGAGATTTAAGATTGGAATGCGCCGTGTACATGATAGCACTCGATGTATGCGTGTATGCGTTTGCGTGTAGAAGAGAGAAAGAGAGCCGATCGTTTTATGGTATAGTGTGAGCAGCAGTAACGGCGACGGAAAAGGCGAAGGCGACGGCGGCTCAGCGACCAGGTTGAAATTGATGGCAAAGAATTTGGCTGGGACGGCAAACGCTGCTTGCGCTGCTGTCGCCGTCAGCGCTGGTATGCTCTGTTCGGACTTATAAACAGCACAGACTGAAGAATACAATTGAACAGCACACAATTCTCTGACAAACACACTCACACATACACGTTGGAATCACCTTTTTCTCTTGCACCCGTCTTTAATACTGATGGAAGCATTTGCAAATCTTCCAACTAAGATGCGAACATAAAGCCGCAGCCAAAAAAAAACAAAAAAAAAACAAAAAAAAAAAAAAAAAAAGAAAAAGAAATCGCTTCTGCTTGAAAAAAAAATAGGACAGAAAGGTAAATACTGAACAAAATAAATAAAAACTTCAAAGGAGAATCCCAGTAGCTAACTGAAATGTCAGTGTGTAAGTGAAATTCCAATGTTTTATCTTGGCAGCAGCACCAGCAGCAAGAACAACTATTTGGAGCCCGACACGAAAACAACGAATAAGAACAAGAATGGAATAACAACGGTTAAGAGATGCCCTTATCGGCAATATACATACATATACATATGTATGTGCATTAAATGGGTATATTATATATTATTTTATATAGTTTTAGGACATACAAAATAAGTTTAAATTTAAATTTAACACTGGCATCAATTTTAACAGTGCTACAATATTCACTACACACTATCATTTATATAGACATAATAACATTATCTGTTAAAAATCTAAATTTGTAGATAAAGTGTGCGGCATAACAGATATGCTCGCTTTACAACCGCAGTGTGTGCAAAGTAAAGGAGAAAAGCGCGACGCAAGGCCGCGGCAGAGGCTGAGACGACAGCGACTTCAGCAACGAAGAACGCGCAAAAGAAATAGCAACACATATACACACAAATACAAGCAAGCACTCACATGTACATACAGGCAAACCTTGGTTACTTGCTCTTTGCAAAGGGGCTTGGAGCGGAGTGAAAAGGGAGAGCGCTACGTTGCGTTGCGCTGCCCGCTGTCCATTTGTAAGAGCGGGTTGCGCGGTCGCCGTTCTCTGCTGCTACGATATCGTCACTTGGGCGCATTCCTCAGCATAATGTGAGCTTGATTTGCTGGATTCTTTTTGCCTCTTGCGCTGTCGCTCGCACTGTTGCTGCAGACCCATCTATTCCAGAGCCCTTGTCTCGCTCACACACACGCACACTCGAAATTATTTTGTTGCCGTTTTTTCTGCCTTCCGATTTTTAAGTTTTCTCAAATATGCCGCACACACATATGTATATATACATATATATTTATACATATGTATGTATATATTTATATGTGGAGTTGGACACGACGCCGGAGCCATGTTCTGGACAGGTCGGGGGTTGGGGGTCGGGGTCGCTACGGCCATAACTTGTTGGCCGCGCGACGGGAAAGCAGCACTGGGAACCTGGCGCGAGCTCTTCGATTTCTTTCAGTGTATTTGCTATGCACCGTTGTTGTTGCTGTTTCTTTGGTTCTAAGACCGGTTGTTGTTGCTGGTACGTTCTTGGTCAACATAGTTTGTGTGAGTGTGCGTGTATGTATTTGTATATTTGTGAGACTGAGTGAGTGCGAGTGTTTATGTGTTGAGATGCTGGAGCCTGTGACTGTTCGGAGGCCTTGTCTTCAAAACAAAAATATTTTATGCAATTCCTTGAATGCGAGTTGGCTTTTTAGATACCCTTGATACATTGAAAATCTTTAAAGGTATCTGGGTGTCAAACAAAGCAGTATGATAAATTCCTAGAATATACATATGAATACTATATATGTATATATACATGAACACATGGTATAGCTGAAGTTTAAACGAACGAAAGCCTAGGTTACGGTTAAGTTTAAGTTTCGCATACAGCGTGTCAACTAGTCGGTCAGCCGTGACGACCATACGCCTTTTTCGCATTTTGTTTTGGAAATTGATTCTTGAATCGAATCTTGACCGAATCTGGCAGAATTGGCGCGCAATTTGACAGGGCGCTGGCTTAGCCATTGGTAACGTTAGCTGCAGCCTGTGCTTAGCATATGGGAAATTCCAATGTTGGGCAATCTTCTCTCTATTGCAAGAAATCGCAACTCGTTGGAATATCGATAGTATAAGAATAGCAACGATAATGTACTCTCTGTCATTTTTGGCTGGAATTTGGTGTTTGTATGTGTATATACATATGTATATGTGCGTGTTACTTTGTTTGCGTTACGCTTTATTGGCGTTGCTGTCGCATATTTTGTTTTTATTTTGACCGAATATTATTGACCAGTCATGCTGAACCTCCATCTACGTCTCTCTCACTATTTGGACTGCACCTCAAATGATAATGTTAATGAACATGGACATTCCTCTCACTCTCTCGTTCTTTTTCTCTGTCTGCACCACTCCTCCTGTCCCTCACTCTTAAAGTATTTTTATTACCTTTGTTACACTAACTTACTTCATGCTCGCAGTTTTTGTCGTTGTCGCTGTTGCTTTTTAATTTGTATATATGTATGTAAATAAGAAATCGCATTTGATTCCCCGTATGTCTCACCCTATCCCCTCTTAACTTTCTCCCTCAGCAACACACACTTCTAATTCTGCATGAATGAGCGATTTTTCTATGAAATAATTTGCTTTATGATTTGATTCTTCGGAAGTTATCTATACTAACCACGAACTTAAAATTGTTTGTAAATTCTACAGCGAAAACTCGTCCAAACGAACTCCCACTACTCCAATAAGGAATATGCCTCATCATTGCCCCCTTATTAGCTGTACATTGAAAGTGAAGAGGAAGTATATAAAATGGAGCTCCTATTGACAATATTTTTAAATTTTTTGCCAATCGTTTGTGGATTGTGGAATGTGGTGTCTCTGTCACTGTGTATGTCTGCAATGTCCACTGGCTGAGAGTCAGTCGGTGTCTAATCTGCCTACCCTACTTTCACTCCAATTCCAGTCATCGGCATCTCGCTCAATTCAATTTATTCGAGCCAAACTTTTCTCTAGCCGCATGCCAGTAGCAGCAACAAAAACAACATCGAGTGCTGTTTCAATGGAGCTGCAAAGTGGCGCCGTTGTATTTGTAGTTTCCAGTGGTTGGAAAGAGGGGAGGAGTTGTGTTGTTCACAAAACTGCAATGAATTTCGACTGTTGTTGTTGTTGTTACTGCTGAAGTTGCTACTGCGTTGGGGGATTTGCCTTTTTCGGCATTGGAATGCCGCGTGTTTGCTGCTGTTGTTGTTGCTGCTGCTGCTCAACAATAATAACAACAATGCTGCTTTTAAAATGTGTTCTAAATAAATTCCAAAGAAATGAAAGAATCGGGGAGAAGCATAGAGATGAGAGTGTGATGTGCAAAATAATTCCTTTGTCTTCCAGGGCTTTTCTCTCTGTTATTAAAGTTGTGGGATTTTATTGAGTATTTATGCCAGACTGCGTCAAACACTTTTTCCATTGGAATTTGTCTATGCCTAACAGCTGCGCGTAATGTTCATGTGGATTTAATGGAATCCCAAATAGATATACGATTTGGCATATCTGATAACAAAGAACCATCTAGCAGATGTTGTAAAACTTGTTTTATATCACCTTCTTATATAAAATTTTTTTTTTACCTACTCTGCATTCCTGAGCTTTCGTGCTATTTCGTGCGTACGCCTGTGTCACGCGGCCACCGCTAATCGGGCTCGGGGGCGCAGATGTACAAGTAACTCACTCGCCGATACAAATTCTGAGCTGCGCAACGCGATTGCAATCTTTGGAGCAGCGGCAGCAGCAGAGGCAACGGCAGCGGAAGCAACAACAATGCGGCACGAGACTTGACTGCGACGCAGGCAGCAGCGAGCTAGCCCCCAATGGGCCCATAAGCGCGTTGGCCGCGACAGCGACAGCGACGTCAACGTCGCGCGTGCGCTGTCTCAACGGATGTCTGGGCCAGTGTAGTTGCTGTTGTTGTTGTTGTTGTTGTTTTGGCAATTTCTTGCTTACCTGTTTGCAGGCTGCAGGCTGTAAACCTCAGCTGCAGCTTTCTTGCGATTTTTCTTGCTCTCCTTTAGTCTCTCTTTGCCGCATTCTCGCTGTCTCTCGCGACTTGCGCCATCTCGCTCTCACTGCCATAGGCCTTGCAAAAATCGAAAAAATCAACCAATTGCCGTACAGTAGCTGAGGTATTTTTTGTTTTTTTTTTTTTTTTTTTTAGTTTTTTGTTGTTTTTTTTTAATGCTTTTAATGAGCGTTTATATTGCACAGGCAGCCGCTGCATTGGCATCCCAGTCTATGGGCAGTTGCTGTTATTGCCTTGTCTTTTACTTCTGCTTCTTCTTCGGCTTCTTGCGGTTGGTTCCGCAGCTAACTATATATATGTATATATATATTAATTCCATATTTTTCTTTCACATCGAAAAATATCGCATAGATTTGATAAAAAAAAAAAAGAAGTAACCGCAAACACTTGTATAAATAATCAATGCGTGAATAATAGAATAAGATTCTCATGAGTTGCTGTTGCTGTTGTTGTTGTGGGCAAGTTGTTAACTATCAAGCACAATAATCATAACAACTAAATATGACAATGTGTAAGAACTTGTCGAATAAGTTAAAATAAAGCTCTTAAAAATGAATTATACTATTAATAGAAAGGGGGTTTTTATTTAATCAGTAAATAGGGAAAGTTAAATATAAACATATCTATATTTATAAATTTCTTCATTTATGGAGAACCTATGGAAGAAAGACTATATAGATATAGTTAATAATTTTGGCTTAGAGATGGGACTGAGGGATGACTAACATCCCTCTTGTCGCTCTTCCATGGATCTCTTCAGTTTTTGGCAATACATATGTATTAGCATATAATATTACGCAATGTCTTAGCCTGGCCAATTACTACACTCTAGAATTTTCGCACACATGCCAGCGTCCGTTCAAATATTTTCGCTCGGAATTTTTGACGGGTATGGAAATAAATATTAGTGCACTTATATGACTAGACTAGCGCCAGCTGCGATTTCCCCAAATATATATAAACATACATATTTAACATATATGAGGCAAAGAAAACAAATGTCCAGCTGACAGCTGTGCCAGATGATGAGAATGGGACTCGGATTACGTGGAACGTTGCGGGAGATTCGCTTTGTCGCGTCGTCTACGGGGCGTATGATTAATGCCAGGCATGTCAAATATGAGCAAAAATACAAAAAAAAAAAAAAAAAAAAAAAAACTCTGAGTGTGCCGACTGTGATAAAAGCTAAGTTGGCAATGCTGACGCATTATGACCAACTGATAAGCAAAGCAAATGCAGCACCGAAAAATTCGCTATACCCTGTAAATGAGTGAAGCTTACGGCATGATGTGCTATAAGCAGGAATTTCACATTTAATTTGATGGTGAAACTTTAACAATATATGTAAGAAGTACCAAAAATTGCTTAAGAGTGGGCATGCCATGCTTGAGGATAGGTATGTAACATGAAAATTAAAGCTTGGAATCTGCAACAAAAGTCGGGTCTAATTGAGCTAGGGCCTGCTACTATAATCTTCTTATATGGTGTAAAAAATTGTACGATGTGCTTGTCACAAAGTATGCAACACAGAAACATTTTTAAGTACTAAAAACTTACAAATAGATAACTCTAGTTCCGTTATCTTTATATGCAAAATACACTGTAAATGATAAATCCAAAGTATATCAGGATACTCGAACATTGTCACATTCAAATGCAGAAACTTTCATTACAGGGTATTAGCTAGTTGCTTACTGCCTGAGACCGAGAGACCTGCCCATGCGGCACAGTGGGAGGATATCTCGCACAAAAGTCAAGTCGAGATACAAGCGCCCAGATATGAGATACAAGATACGTGCTACATGTGTAGCTTGTCGGCTGATAATGAGCTATAACTTTTTGTTCTGTTTTTCGTTTTGGTCTCAGTTTTTGTTTTGGCAAATCGACAGACATCAGCATTCACATTTGGTATTCACAGACGTATTCTCCTATCTCGTATCATTCGAAATTCGGAAAATATCTATTGAAAATTATTCAAATTTTAATTAGCGAGTTGCCCTTTGGGCCGTGGGAGCCAAAGCTAAACTTTAAATTATGAAGATACAGATACATATAGAATTTGGTTATTTAAAAATGTGTGTGTGTGTGTTTCTCTGTGTGTGTGTGTGTGTGTGTGTGTGTGTGTGTGTGAGTCTATGTGCACGCAAACGCCCAGCTAGGCTGATAAATATTTGGCTTTTGCATGCCAGCGCGATGAGTTCAACGCGGACGTCAACGCAAATGCTTGTTGTTGTTGTTGCTGTAATTGTTGTTGTCGTTTGTTGGCTATTAGTTGTTGTTGTCGCTTGTTGTTGCCGCTCATTTAATTTCCAAACATTTATCAACAAATATTTGG